CCAGATAAGTCAACTAAACTACAACAAGTCTTCCAGAAACATTTAGTACACTCTTTGAGGTTTCACTTGCTGAAAGTTTATGCTGTTTATTATGTTGACTGAGTAAAACAATTCTGGCACGTGTTTCAACAATTACATACGAAACTTTTTCATTTGCCTTTGAACTGTGTTAATGCTTTGCAGTTGTTTATTTGTTTGATGTTAAGCACAAAGCTACACAAAGTGCTATCTATGCTGTGACCACCACGGGTATCGAAATCAGATTCTTAGCGTCATAAGCCCTCAGACTTACCGTGTTCTTTTATTCGACTGCAGAGCCTTCTAGTGACTGATCCAATTTATCTCTGGTTGCACCTCAGGCACGTGAACTCATATAACACAAGCCAGGTATTCAGTGTTTATATATGTTGTACGTATTTAAAATTGAAAAATCCTTTTAACCAAGATACATTTTAGCTGAAGTAGGGTGTGACCAAAGTAACACTTTTCTTTGGAACATCTAACATAACTACAGACGGGTTAACTAGTTTTCTAGTTTTGGTGTGGGTTATTTTATTTAGGAAAAACAACGGCTTTTGGCTTCAAAGCTACTGAGTCTACAATGCTCGTCTTTACGTCCTCATGCCTTCTGTGGTAGCAGCTGTATCTTTTATTTGTTAAAGTGAAGTTTTAGTGTCCTTAATACACTATCTTCAAGTTCAGTTAATGGTCTTTAACTTAAGTTATCACTGTTCGTTTAGATTTGATTGTAGTTCTAGGAAAGTTTCTTGTTACAATACCATGCAAGATAAGTGTCTTAGTTTTTAGTTACACAACCGACAAGGTGAGAGTTTGTGTTTGTTTGTTTCTTTTGTTTTCGGATATTCGTCCGAAGCTACTCAAAGGTAACCTGTACTGACCAACCCTAATTTTGAACTGATAGATAAAAAGAAGGCTAATGAAAAACAAAGTGAGTATTTAAGTTTTTATTAAACTGCTTTATCAAAGTTACCTTCATTTGATAAGTCAAATGTACAATTTACATTTAAAGCAGCCGTGAGGGGTCAACAAACATTGTTAATATATAAATTCCCTCTTAGTCACTCTTATCAATATAGAATACCACGTGTTTTAAAAATTTTAATAAATTGCTGTAGCAGAACGACTGTATGATAATTAACAAAACTAACACACAATGGACATTTAGTACAAATGTCACGTAAAACCATTAAGAAAATTAGCGTTATTGTCCTAACGAAAGGTCTCATACTTCAACTCTTGTAAGTCTAACCTAAGTGCAACAAGGGAATTATTTTTATATGATGTGCTTGACGCCTACAGCTGTTATCATTATAACTATCAACTTATAGACAACTAAACATAATGGACAAGGAATGCAATCACCGTAAACTGTACATATTATCCTTGATAAATAACGTATAGCAGCACAGCAGTAAGAAACAATCTGTAAGGGTTATATTGATGTAAAGCTCGTAATGAAAATATTACTTTTTCAAAAGTAGAAACAGTCGATAAAAACTAAATAGATAAAAGGGAGACTAAAAAAGCAACATAAGAAAACCAGTAATAATTGCTAATAACTGCAAAAATCATAATAAGAGCGCAGGAAGGCGTTTGGAAAAATAACTATAGTGAGGAAAGGTAATGTATTGACTTTAAGTATCTTGGGCCAATACTGTGTAACACTGTTTACTTTTGGTAGGTTTTTGTATTTCCAAATTAGGTAAATTACTAAATCATGTTATCTTAATTCCTACGTAAATAATCTAATTTAATTATATTCTTCGTCTTGATACCTACGTAAATAATCTAATTACACCATTTTTCTCATCTTTTTCCCAAGTAAATAATCTAATCATATAATCTTTCTCATCTTTATCCCTACATAAGTAATCTAATCAGGACATTTTTCACATCTTTATCCCTACGTAATTACTCTAATCAGGACATTTTCTCATCTTTATCCCTACGTAAGTACTCTAATCAGGACTTTTTTCTCATCTTTATCCCTACGTAAGTAATCTAATCAGGATATATTTCTCATTTTTATCCCTACGTAAGTAATCTAATCAGGATATATTTCTCATTTTTATCTCTACGTAAGTAATCTAATCAGGACATCTTTATCCCTACGTAAACGATCTAATTCTATACTTTTTTATGTAGATACCCCCAAGGTTAAACATATTTTTGCCATCGTCTAACGTACTTATGATCAGAAGCTTGCAATTATTGTTAAGACTAGTAGCCTAATAATGTAGATATAGCGATTTAAAGACCCAACAAAATTACAACTATCCACAAGTCAGTATGAATGATTTTCTCTTGACGATGATAGCAGGTAGAAATATCAACATCTTATTTACATAACGATTTTTCAGGATTTATTATCTTCTCATTTATTATGCCTCTATTTCCTTTTCTCCAATTGAGAATTCTGGTTTCATTAAATGGGTTATGCTCTCAAGTAACTCGAAAACCGCTTTTCTTCACTGCTTTTGTCCAAAATAAGCAAATACAAATAGATACTTACAGAATACATGGCCTGTTCACGTGACTACACACATACACATACATAGCCGTATATGTTCGTGAGGTCATACACCTCTCTTATTATAAGGCTCATTTCACCATTTACACATGTTCCAAATGTGCCGCACTCGCTTCTTCGTGTGTACTTATTTAAATTAAAAATAAATAAATAAAACAAATCATCCAAGGCTCTTACTTTTAAATGTTAAAATTAACATAAAACTGGTACTATCTCTTTAAATGTATATGAACACTGTAGAGAGGAAGATAAATCGTGTGTATATGCATATATAGATAGATAGAGAGAGAGAGAGAGATTGATAGAATTTAATAATAAACCAAGGAAAAACCGAGCAAGCTTTCAGGAAAAAAAAGGAACACGGGGATAATTTTATGTTTAATCCTTAAAAAAAATTAACTATGATTTAAAGTCTAATTCACTTGTCCTATACCTTCACAACTAATTACATATATAAGCGAATCAATGGATATTATGCTGTTTTTGTGATTGTCTCTCTATCAGTGTTTCTTTAAGCCCGAAGAAAAAACAGCCTCCGAATATATATATTTTTAAATCTACTATATGTTTATTTTGGCAAGACTTTACAGTCTGTACTTTCTGTTTTATACCTTGCACTGGAACTACATTAAGTCATAAAACAATTCATCTCCAGTGAAAGCCATAACAACTTACAAATTTCGTATTCAGCTCGATGAAAGCAAAATTCCTTAGGGTGTGTTGATTTTCAAAAGGGATCTCTGGAGAGTTTAGGAATTAGGTGAATGTCACGTGAATTGTATTGATGCATTAGTATTTCCAGGAACTGTGATATGTTTTATGTTTGGATTACCTTCCTCTCGACAACAACTGTGCTAAATATGTTTATCTATTTGTGTCAGACAAGACTGTTTCAAATGTGAAGGGGTGTATTGCGGGTTATAATTGTACCATTCACATGATAGGTTTCTACTGTGTCTTACGTTGTACATGAGGTAGTTTCTCCTGACCTCAGCTATATCATATCTGTATATCTAACTATAGCTGTATCATCTTTAAGGTTGTTTGTTTTGTTTTTAATACTGTGTTTCAGCTGCATCACGTGATCGTATTGTGAACTTCCATTGTATCACATGTGTAATTGTTTATAAATGTAATTATATGTATTTTTTTCCTTTTCATCATTAACATATTTTTGATTAAACTTAAACCCTCTCACGTGTAAGGCAGATTTTTTCTGTATTTTAGCTTAGACATGTAGATGAATTATTGTCGTTTGGAATATATTTGTACCACATGTTAACTAGCTGTTGTTCATATAATATATAAACTATAGCATAGCGTCTTTAGAAAGTTAAAACGTTACAGCAAAAAAGGAAAACAAGTTAGCTTAGGTTTTATATAATTGTTCATAATATACTAACACGTTAATGAAATAATTCAAGCGTACACAAGGAAATATCAAAGACTGTAATGCTTGTATTATCAATTCATGTATGATCTCGGTAATTCTAAGGTTTTAGGTACATTACCTATATGCACTTATTTTTACTTGAAAGACAAAATGCTCACCGTCAAAGGGAAAACTGTTTAAAAGGTACAAGTTCAATTTTCGAATATTTACTTGTACTTGTAAAAGGTGTGCAATCGAAGTCAATGGTGAAAATTATGTAACGTAGCTCAAAGAAACACAAGTAGGAAAAAAGTACCTTATCGAAACATCCAATTTGATTATCTTTAATCGATATACACTAGAAGCTCCGATAGCTCTCCTTGAATTGCACTTTCAACAAAAAGTCCAGCTCGCACGCGCACAAACACAAATGTCTTTGATAGTAAAGGACTCTGTAAAAAAAAATGTAATATATGTAAAAGTCAACTTCCTACAGTGACATAAATACAAAATAAATACATTTTATTTTGTACATTTTAGGTATTTCTTGTGCGATTTAAAACAATTTAAGTACGGAATATGCGCTACTTCTGCCTGTTATTAACATTTTATTAACCTCTATAAGTAGAAATTAAAACGTATAACCATACTTCAAGATCAAACTGTAATTAGAGATAATAAAAAATAGAAATATGTGTGAAAATACACTACTAAGGGTTGGAATTGCAAGAAATGTCTACGCAAAAACAAGATAATAGTTTTGATGACAATTTCAAGACAGTGCAAAAAACAAAAACAAACTCGAATGGCCATTGATGTTACTTCACCGAAAGGAGTTCTTTAAAAATAAAAAATATGTCTGTGGGTGTTTTTATAATTTTTCTTTAAATATATATATACATAAATGTAGCTTAAAAACCAGATCGTAGTGAACGGTTAATATTAGCAACTGTATGGTGATTTTTACTGAAGGAAATATAAATAATAGATAATTAACTTGAATGTTACTTATTATCACTGTGTGTTTATAATAAAGAAACTGTTATTGATATTGTCATTTTAACAACGCCGCCACAGTTACCAGGACGTCTACATCTTGAAGAGACTCTTCAGTTTATAAGATCTGTCTGACGGTGGCGTCATCATGTGAGATAAGCACAGTCCCTACTTGGCTGTGGTCTATTTTAAATGGCTAGGTAATCCATGGACCATTCACAAAACGGGTCAAAAAGACTGACAAGCGACGTAGGGCAAGCACAACCGCAGGGAGAAATGGACGCATTACTACTGGGACGAACAAAGGTCAGTCTGAATTTCCATCAGATTTCAACTTTGAATGGAAAAAATAATAATCTAAAAATAATCTAATTATGTTAAACCACATATATAATACATTTTTATTTCTCGAAATAAGCATATTTTCTAATACATAAATTTAGAACTGACGTTTTGAGTCATGTATTATTGACGAAATATATCATATCAATTTAAAATAAATTTAGAATATTTAACTTTGCATATTACGTTCAAACTAACAAAATACGATATTAATATTTCATCAGATACTTTTTACAATCGTGTGATACAGTCAGTCAGTTAGAAAAAATTCTGAAAGTCCTTACATTAAGAGTATTATAAATAACACTATTTGAATAAATGGGGAATGTTTCAACTTTACAGACTGGGTGTATAAACATGATATTTCTATGTCATTCGAAGCATAGATGGTTTTTAGTTATAACTGATAATAGTAGAAAAATCAAATACAGCTCTAAAATATAAACTATCAAGGACATTATACATCATAAGTTTATTAAGATCCTTTCATATCACAAAAGTGAACAATATAATACGGACTTAGTTTCGAGTATAGTTTTGTTATAACTGTTTCTAAATCTAAGGCAATATTGGACTTGGTCTTTCTGTTGCATCTGTTAAATCGCTATGAGATATCTATATGTATAGAACTATTTCAGTGCATACTTCGTCAGCGATGCCCCATTGAGTTTTTGTGAAACAACAACAATTGCGATCCTAAAATCTAATAGGTCACTGTATAATTACTATGATGTGTTAATCAATCAACTCGATTGATGTCATTGAATTATTAGCAAAGCGAGATTATAAATACGAGTTAATTGTAAAGATTGTAGAGCTTTTTTTTCAAGATAGAGAGTTGAACCAGTCAATGTTTTTTCGTGAAATATTTAGATCTGTGTTTACTGTCACACTTATTGAGTTTTTTTTTGTATATTTGTACAGAGGTTTGAATGTCACTTGTAAGTAGGCTTAAAACAAGTTACGACACGGTACAAGTGTTCAAGCTTCGTTAAAGGAAGAACTAAATTAACTGTTTATTTTTTACGTAGACTGCACTTTGACTCATTTTCACCGACTAATTTAAAAGAACCCGAAATAACAACGAAAATAAGAATAGTCAACTATTCGAAAGCGCTCGAGTTTTGGGTCTTATTTTAAGTTTATAACAACGCTACAATAGTAACAAAGTTATCTGTCATCAAGAAATAACACTGAATTTTAAACTTACAGACCTAGCTTGCCTTATCTCTTCTTCAAAGGGGGAAGGTTTAGCAGAAATTTACAAACTTAAATAAAATGTAACGAAATAATTAAAATTTTATAAGTTACTTTATACCTGTGAAGGCTTGTTGTTCCCAAATAAAATAAAAAGTCTAATATTTTGTGGGGTGTAAAAATTAATTTATAAGGTACTGTCCAGTTTTAGTATCGTGTTCTTACTAACAATGCAGTGGTAAAACGAAGCAGGATTGGTGCTCGTTATAATAAAGGTAAACGTCTGGTAAATGAATTGAAATGGTAATGTATAGATATGTAGTTGCTTAAAATAGAACATTAAAGCTATTATGTTAGTTCTTGTATTCTGTTCGATACAGACGCGTTGGAAAGGCCTCCTATGGTACGCAAGAAAAATCTTAACATATACTTGTAATATGTACATTATCGACCTAAGAACACGTGGCAAATTAATACGTTGGTAAGCAATAATGAAAAAAAAAATAGAATAAAGCCTTGGCATTATAAGCGTTTTCAGAAAATAAGTTTGTGCTATTAAACCACTGAGTGTCGGATCAATCGTTCTAGATTATAACGCTTTAATGTTTGTGTTGCATATTTGCTGACATCTTTCATTGATTTACAGATTGAATAAATTTCTAAGACCACTGACATGAAAAATACCACATAAACAAATTTTGGCAAAGAACTGTTGAATCTGACTCTAGTGCTAACGAGAAGAATTTATATGTCTGTCGAAAATCTATATAGATCTATGCTGATCATAAGAACTGGCGTCTTTGAAGCCTTGGAACTGAATTATTAACTTACGAACCAAAAGAAAAGACTGAACTGGCTTAAAACAAGTTAAAGAAAAAGTTTCATCCTGACCTACCAAAAACTTTTTAATTAGGTCAGATTGAATTTTGCTTTCATGAAAACTTATGGTTTAGTTACCCCCCTCTCCCCACAGTAACAAGTGAGTAGTAAGGAAGTCTGATGCATCGACTCCACTAGGCCTAACAATTTGTATAATCATACATGCCCGTTACTGTGGTCACTACTTTCTAACGGCGACTGTTACTGACTATGAATGATTCTTCTTCTTTGTTTTACATGTTAATGATTAATAATACGAATTAATATTTTATTAATGTCTCAATTATGTATATGTATATATTAAATTCCGTAGGGAGTATAGGTCTATAAGTGACAAAAGGGCAAAAGTTAATTTTATACCAAAAGGTCTGCCTTATCATACAAAGTATGGGGAACATCTGTGTGAACAAAAAATATTTTCACTGAAAGCCTTTTTACTTTCCCCACTGAACAATTCTTTCATTGTTCAGTAAATGATAAACTTCATATTTGTGAGAACGTCTTTTACCCACTAATACACCCGCAGAGCAATGCATTAAGAAAAATAGTATCCAAGACATTTAATATTTTGTCCTACCCTGTACGTTTTCAATAAAATAACTTAATAATAAATCAGTCCTCGTGAATTAATTTTTCCAAGTCATGGGTAATTAATGATTGATTCATTATTTTAGATAATATGAAGGCTGTTAGAGTAAATAGCCAATATGAATTTGGTTCATTAAAATTGTCAATAAGCGAATAGGCTTACATCTTCCTTTTAGGTTTACGGTTTCTCTCTTTTTTAAACATAACGTGTATGTAGCTTGTTAGATGAAGACTGTTCAACACTTGAAGTAAGGTGTGTGTTCCTGTCTTTCTTCATTATCTGTAACGGTATTCAACAAACAGTAATCTTACAAAATCAGGGTTGTGATGTGCAGGAACTTGAAATGTCTGCAAGGTTATGATGTGCAGGAACTTGAAGTGTCTGCAAACAGTAACCTTACAAAATCAAGGTTATGATGTGCAGGAACTTGAAATGTCTGGTAAAGTAAATCTTCATAATCTCAGCTAAATTTAGTTACAGGAAATATATATACACTGTTTGTTCTTAAGCATAAAGCTACATAAATGGGCTATATGTGATGTTTTCACTCGATTTTTAGCGTTATAAGCCCTCACACTTACAGCTGAGCCACCATAGGGCCAATATATGTAACCTCACTATGTCTTTATGTGACAAAATGATTGTGTTGTAGTTAGCGTTTCAACATAATTTTATATGTGAAGACTTTTTTTTCTTTCTTTTTAAGCGCAAATATATGGGTTTTTGCATTCTGCCCACCGTAGGAATCGAACTCTAACATTTAATATAGTTAGCCTTCATGCATATTTATGAATAAGTTTAATTTCAATTTTGGTAAGGAAGAATTTTCTAAATAAGCTAACCCATTCACGATTCTCTTCCAAGTGTCTATTGAGAAGTTCTGCTGATACATGTCAAATGAAAAAAAAAAAGATTAATTAAAACTAATAATTTTTAAATAACTTAACTTCAACATTAACTATAATTTATGTTTACTCCTGCACATTCGTATTATTTTCTTTGTTTTAAAAAAGTTGAAAAAGTTTTGTTTGCGATGGAGGAGAGAGAAAAAAATAGTTCCAACGTTATTTTCACCTTCGTAGCAGCATTATGTCTTTTTTTACTTATCTAGGTACAGATCAGGCTTATCTCACAAGGAAAGGAAACATGAGAATAAATACAAACAGTTTTACCTCAATGAAATTTAAGTCAGGTTAGTCCATTTTCCCTAAATAAATAATGAGGTGGAAAATTATGATTCAAATTGTTCATTCTTACCTCCTGTACTAACTTAAACCTGAGAAAAAGAGCGAAGTTCGCACGTACAATTCGAGAAGTTACGCCTTTAACTAGAGTAAATGAACTAATTATCGACTGTAGAAAAAACAAAGCTATCTCTAGGTTCGTGAATGTGTTGCTATGAATATATATACGTTTCTTTCCCACACCGACTATGGAGATCACCATCTTTCTATTGAGTTGCTATTCGAACTATTTGTAGTTAAATTACGTGCTTGTACTCTTTGTTTGGACAATAAATGGGACAGTAAGAATTGAATTGTTTAAGACAATGTAGTTAAATACATCTAATTGGCTTAGATCCTTCATCTAATATCAGGTTGTATCACCTTTCACCAGTATAACAGCCTGGAGCAGTGTGACATAGACCTTGAAAGGTGCCTATTATTATTATTGTTAAACGACGGACACCTTTCTTCGAAAGTCGACCTACTATTTCCAAGTATCAGCGCATATTGCTATGTAACATACCGATGTATATATATACAGTTAATGAATTATATGAATGAAAATACGATTATAGAGTTTATACTTGGTCTACGAAGCGATTTTATGGACAATATAAAGAATAACAGCTTGCTCTTACGGATACAGTGAAGTAAACAAGTATGTTTCCTCGTAATGAAGATGTGAAAAAAGAATAACGTTTAGTCTTAGATATGTTGTGTTGTAAGTCACATATGTTTTATATTTTCTCTTTTACTAGGCTCTTTATATTGGTATGATACTTGAGAAATACTGGTCAGGTTTACTACTCCTCTCGTGTTTGTAAATAGTAAGTCTCCAAATTTGTATTTTTTATTTATTTTTGATATGTAGACACCAGACTTCATACTGTGGGCTCTAAACACTTATAAAGCAAAGAACGTAAAAATATTCCAACATCTGAACTTTTGTGTGTGTCTAGAGCACACTGAGAAATAAAAAATAAAACTAGTGTTAATAGTTCTTAAAAATACATTTATGATGATACTTAATTTGCTGTTTGTTTAATTGACTTGGGTAGTTCAATGTCAATGAT